ATGCATCCAAACTGGCCATGCAACATATCTCTCTATTTTGTTGGACTATCTAAAAACCCTGATATTCATGACTTTTTGCCATGAAAAAAGAACAACATTTTGACTCGGGTCGCCACAATCCAGTAAGGCAAAATAAAAGTTGCAAATCAACAAATATTGCATTTTATTAGCGATGCAATAAAAAAGAGAGGAGAATCGAATGAGAGAGCAAAAACTGATCGTAAGTGTCTGTTTTTTTTTGTTGAAGAATGTAAACCCAGTAAAATGCCTTTACAACAAACAAACCTCAAACTAAAACTTAGAAATGCCAGTCGCTGAGACACACTGCAGCAAATAAAACAACTACAACAAAGAGGCTTTCATTTGTTGCAATGAAGTGTGGCATAGATTTTACTTGGCTTTTGAGCTGCGCAGACAAGTCATTAAACTTTGTTGGTCTGTGCTTGCTTCAACAAGGCAAAAACAAAAACCGGCATAATACCCCACACTACATTGCAATGGCTGGCTGCTTGGTTGGCGGACGGTAACGTTAGGCCAATTGCAAAACCTGTTGAGGCAAGTCTTGAAGTCATGGATGGCTTTACAAAGATGGGAACAAGGGCAGGGAATTGGAACTTCCTCTTCTATTCGAAGAATAAGCCACAAAAATATCACAAAGTGTTAGATTTTTCAAAAATGCATTGCTCATGTGTTCCTCCACCAACTGATTCACCATGTCGCATTAATTAGCCTAGCAATTAGTGCTAATTTAAAGCCAAATTAATTATTACAACATTGAATTGCCTTTAAGTTAATACTATACTTTTATTGAAGCCTTTTTGATATTACAACCTTATAATAAGTTCTGATTTTGTTTTTATTTATTTTTTTTTTTTTGCCATACAAAGAAACAAATCCTAAACTCTACGTGCTAAAATGATTCATTCTTTTCATCACCGATTTTATAACAATTATGGCATAATTAAATATTTTTTTTATTTAATACACATTGTTTCACTTAGGAAAGTTTTGGTATTTGTACTTAAATATTTCACATATTGTTTATTGTTTCCTCTCGACACGTCTTAAACATTTTTTTTTATTATTTGGAAGGAAAGATAAATTAATAATTTTATATATTTAATGCTACAAATAATTACATTTAAATTACCTTTTGCTTCCTCCGAACATTAAAAGCAAATTGTAATCAATTCCAAAAATATTTGACATTGCAAATTGTTTGCGCTCCAGCAATGGCAAGTTTTTTTTCTGATTTGTACAAACAATTCTAATTTAGAATGCAATTGTTTATTAGCTTTAACATGCTTGATACGACCTTTTTGACTCCTTATTCAAATCGACACATTGAAACCCCTCTGGCCAAACGCACACATACGCACACATGTTTATTGGTGGCTTGTCATGAAATACTCTAAACATTCCTTAAACTGAACTTCGTTGAAATCGATTAGTGGACTAAGGCGGCGATATCACAACCTAATCTCACACAACCAGATTGCAATGCCCCGAACTTGTTTTTCCTAATAATAAATAATTTCAAACAACATTTGTTTTTATTTTGGATATAACCAAAATATCTTTTACAATTGAATGCATTTTCTCTGTGCTTTTTTGATTTAATTATCTGAAATTGAATGTGATATTTGGAGGAATTAGCAAATTTCTTTTCTGCGTTTTGTTTTGTTAATTACTGCTGTTGCTGTTTTTTTTTTTTTGTATTGTTTTTTGAACATTGCGTATAATGAACGATAAGATAGGCCAGCGTAGAGGGAATTTATAATATAGCCCAAATGGAAAAAAATATAATTGCATAATAACAATCATTTCGCGAATATTCTGGATGCATAAAGAGAACATTTAGAAAATGATAAAAAATTTTAGATTTGATGTATTCTTGGTAAAATAAAGCAAAATATATTATTTTTTATATTTATTTCTTGTCACATTAGCTAAAATAAATATGCAATTATAATGATTGCATATTTAGTGCAGAATAAGATTTTTAACAATTTTAAATAAAATTTTTAATTAGATTTTTTTATGCAAATGTATGCTCTTATATGACACGCAATTATAATTTGCAGCCTTCCAAACAGATTGCAAATTATTTGGAAAGTTGAATTGTTCCAAAAAATCTTTGTCATTTAAATGTTTATTGGCCACAATAATTAAGATGTAATTGGCACTAAATATGTGGAATTAAAATACGGCCACTTTCCTTCGATCGGAGTATTTAATGTCATATCGCAAGTTATGACAGATGAAATTATTGAAAATTGTGACTATTTGTGGGTTAGTCACGGGCCGATACTTTGTGGGGGAGGTACCAAAAGGAATGGTTCGATCTTTACCATCTTTATAACAGATCTTGTGTTGATTGAAATATTGAGATGTACCAAGTCTGACTGAAATCGGAGATTAACTTCGCGTTTTATGATTAATATTCATAATTTTGACCCTTTGTGGGGGAGGTACCAAAAGGAGTGGACCGATATATTCCATCTTCACACCAGACCTTGGGTTAATAAAAATATTGTGTTGTGTGAAATTTGAAGAGAACCCGATGCTTATTTCGGATTTTACAATCGTTTTGGTTATTCAAAACGTTGACCCGTTTGTGGGGGAGGCACCAGAAGCAATGGTTCGATCTCCGTAATCTTTATAATAGATCTTGTGTTAATGGAAATATTGAGATGTACTAAGTCTGAATGGAATCGGATGTTAGTTTCGTGTTTTATGAGCTTCATGAATATTAAAAATTGTGACCCTTTGTGGGGAAGGTACCACAAGGAGTGGGCAGATATTTTCCATCTTTACACCAGACCTTGGGTTAATAAAAATATTGTGATGTGTGTAATTTGAAGACATTCGGACACTTATATCACATTTTTAAGAGTTATTATTCAAAATTTTGACCCTTTGTGAGGGAGGTACTTGACGGCGTGGACCTATATTGTCCGCACCTGACCTAGTACTGATGCAAATATGAGCATATGCAAAGTTGGAGCGAAATCGGAGTATCCTTTCTCTTTGTGTGCAATTAATTATTTTCGTTGACAATTTAGACATTTTGTGGGGGAGGTACCAGAAGGAGTGGACCGATATTGTCCATCTCCGAATTCGATCTAAGTTTTACAATAATATTACTATGTACCAAGTTTGAATCAAATCGGGTACTCGGATCGTAAAGTTATCAACCAGCCAGACAGACGGACGGACATCGCTAGATCGACTCCAAATGTCCTAAAATGGATTTGGTCCAAAGAAACCTAGGGTCAAAAATCTTTATTTCGATGAGACACGTTTTGGCCGCATCAAATGATATACACCCTCTCTAGCCATATGGCTGAGGGTATAAAAAAGCGGACAATTTTCATTGCTCGAAGTATTTCATAGTTAGCAATTCGTCTTTGAATAACTCGACTCGTCAGTTAGGGTCAAGAAGTCCGCCGTTTTTTAATATAAAATCGCCTGGCTCAATATCTTTTTGAATGTGAATCAATAAATTTGATTTGTGCTTTCAAATCGTGCTGCGAATTCTTTCATTCGATATCCCTAAAAAATTGTTTAAAATGTCCATATTTTAACCTGATTGAATTAAAAATTGTTTAAACTGTATTTCTTCTTTGGAGAAAAAAGGATTTGTTGATCCATGCTTAAAATGATGAGAGATTGAATATTATATTAGAAATTCCGAATTTTTTAAAAAAAGCCCTTACTAATGTTAGCCTTTTCCCCTAAAGTATTCCGAATCAAGAAGTCTATCTCTCCGTAGGAAATTTATAAAATTAGTTGGAAATAAAATGTAAAGTTTATAATTCCTTCCCGCATGCCCTGAGTCCCTACAACCTATTCTGTGTAAGGGTTCTTGTCCCCTGGTTACATTAAGTGATTTGTCTTATCTTCATTTGGTTCCCGCCATATGATCTTAGTGTATTTCCCTATGTTCTCGTTATTCCATAGCAATGTGTGAGCTGCCTTTCGCCTATCAATAGGAAATACGTTTATTATTTAATTGTCGTACATTGAAATTATTATTGAATACATATTTGAATCCAAGCAATTAGTTTTTTAAACTGTTTGCTAATTTCTACAATCATCCAAGGGAAACATAACAGCTGGATATGTGAATATGTGAGCACCTCCCAGGTGGTGTTTCCTACAAGCAGATATGTTTCTTAAATGGCAGTGGCAAGAATGAAAACCAAACACCAACTTTTAACTCAGTTTTATGCACATCAGACTTTAACACTGATCTATCTGTCAAATGGCATGCACACACACACACATGCACCCAATTCCCCAAAAATTGTTTCAATTGAAAATGAGAACATTGTAATTTATGGTTGTACCTGATTTTTGTTTGTTTGTAGGAATCACGCTCGTTATGCTTCTGTAATTGGACTAAAAAAGTAAATATTTTTGGGTTTGGTTCTGGTATACTGTCTGTCCTCACACACAGACTAAATTTCCAAGCACGCGAGATAACCTTACGTCTGGAATTGCGAAAATATCTCGTTTTTCTTTTTAAAATACAAATAATATAGTACTAAACATGAAGCAATACTTAATAGTACTAAAATCTATTTTAGAACACACATATACGTGAATTTCCTCCTTGATAACTTGTTAATTTTCCAATTCACCGCAAAGTTATTTACAAAAAATATTTTCAAATACTAAATAACTCCATGAAAACTGGCAAACACCATGGAAAATCGCCGAGACGGCGACATTACACGTTGCTACAAGAAGAACTGCATAATAAATGACAATCTTTCGGGAACTACCCACAAACTTTCTGTATAACAAACTTTTTAAACAACACTTCTAAAATGTTTATCTTAAAAGTCAAAACAATGGTCTTTGGGTTTCCTATTTTTGTAACATTGGAAATTATAAAAATCTCCTAAAGCAATCTTCTTCTCACTCTACAATCCCCACTATATTTAAGCCCTTAAACTAATACATTTTTTCCCATTTTTTCAACTTCTTTCCAGTCTGCTCCCGGGGCCGTTACCACCGGTGCTGGCGCTCCCATTGGCGTCAAGGATGCCACCATGACTGTTGGACCCCGTGGCCCTGCTCTATTGCAAGATGTCAACTTCCTCGATGAAATGGCCCATTTCGATCGTGAACGTATTCCCGAACGTGTTGTACATGCCAAGGGTGCTGGTGCTTTTGGTTATTTCGAAGTAACCGACGACATTACCAAATATTGTGCCGCCAAGGTGTTCGAAAAGGTTGGCAAACGTACCCCAGTGGCTGTACGTTTCTCAACGGTCGGTGGTGAGAGTGGTTCCGCCGATACGGCCCGTGATCCCCGTGGTTTTGCCGTTAAGTTCTATACCGATGATGGTGTTTGGGATTTGGTCGGCAACAATACACCAATTTTCTTCATTCGTGATCCCATTCTATTCCCCAGCTTCATTCACACCCAAAAACGCAATCCTCAAACTCACTTGAAGGATCCCGACATGTTCTGGGATTTCATTTCGTTGCGCCCCGAGACCACTCATCAAGTCAGTTTCCTGTTCAGTGACCGTGGTACTCCCGATGGTTATCGTTACATGCACGGCTATGGCTCCCACACCTTCAAGATGATCAATGCCAAGGGTGAACCCATCTACTGTAAATTCCATTTCCGTTGCGACCAGGGAATTAAGAATTTGGATGCCAAGAAAGCCGATGAATTGGCTGGCTCTGATCCCGACTATTCCATCCGTGATTTGTACAATGCCATCAAGGAAGGAAACTTCCCCAGCTGGACTTTGAGAATTCAGGTTATGACCTTCGAACAGGCCCAGAAATTCAAATACAATCCCTTCGATGTGACCAAGGTATGGCCCCACAGCGAATATCCTTTGATCACAGTTGGTAAAATGGTTTTGGATCGCAACCCCACCAACTACTTTGCCGAAGTGGAACAAATTGCATTCAGCCCCGCTCACTTGGTGCCTGGTATTGAACCATCTCCCGACAAGATGTTGCAAGGTCGTCTCTTCTCCTACTCGGACACCCATCGCCATCGTTTGGGCCCCAACTACTTGCAAATCCCCGTCAATTGTCCCTACCGTGTGCCTGTTAAGAACTATCAACGCGATGGTCCAATGACTGTCACCGACAACCAAGGTGGTGCACCCAACTACTATCCCAACTCCTTCTCTGGTCCCGAAACTTGTCCACGTTCCCGTAGCTTGGAATCCAAATTGCCCGTTTCCGGTGATGTCTATCGTTACAGCAGCGGCGACACTGAGGACAACTTCGGTCAAGTTACCGATTTCTGGGTGCATGTCTTGGATGAGCCTGCTCGTCAACGTTTGGTCAATAATATTGCTGGCAATTTGGTCAATGCCAGTCAATTCATCCAAGAGCGTGCTGTCAAGAACTTTACCAATGTCCATCCCGATTTTGGTCGTAAATTGACCGAGGCTTTGAAATTGGTTAAATCGGCCAAGATGTAAGCAGGCAGCAGCACTCTGTTGTCTCAATTTGTATTTGTTTAAAGGTTATTGGTGAGAAAAAATGTCTCGATTTTCGTTAAAAAAATGGTTGCGGGCTTTTTTTCTCTTCTCTATCCCCTCTTAACTTTGTTCGATGTTTCTTTTTTTTTTTTTTTTTGAGAACTGTTGTATAAAAATTGTAAAATTATTGATACATATTTTTTAGAATATTGGACACATACACACCCACACTGGCCATGTAGTCATTTTGGAGATTAAACAAAAAATGCCTTGAACTAACTTTTTTACATTCGATTTTTTTATAAAGATTTTTTTTGTGTAATCTTATATGTATAGCTTTAGTACGCACATTTCCATTATATAATCAATAAAATGCAATATTTTATATATATAAAAAAAAATTAATAAAAAATTTAAAAAAAAAACTTGAAATGTTTTTATTGTTTGTTTGAAATACATTTTTTCTTAAATGTGGTTAATAAAAAATAAGAGCTCACTATGAGCTGGTTTTTTCACTAAAGAACTCCTTTATATAGCTTCATAGGTAGACCAAAAAGATCTTTAAACGGTGTACAGAATACCCTATACACAAGTCCACCAGAATTTCTAAATTAAACCTGTCTGATTCCCAATATAACATATCCTCTCTAAAAGACATTTAAAAATTATATAGACCCTATATATCTTTTATCTACAGAAATCCTCTAGAAGCCTTTCTAAGACTTCCATCTGTTGACAAATTTATAAAAATAGTTTTAATCTAGAGGGTACCTTTGGAATAGGAAGGATAACATAATGGTACAATACAAAGGTTATGTGAAGGTACCACAATAAGGTCCTGGTATGCCCGACTTCTCCCATTTTTGTGTATCTATTTATTGTTTTAAAAAATAAAATCAAAAAATGTCTCATCAATGATTTGAATAAACGGACATGACGGGAAGCGCACAAGGAATATTAACAAGTTATGCCATGGAAATTAAATATTGAAGGGTTTGGTTAGTGTTTTTGGAAGAATAATCTGGTTTTCCATTCATCTTTTGCCTTTTTAACTCATTTCAAAAATTTGGAAAAATGTAAAGAAATGAGAATAACTTGTTGCATCTAATTTTGAATATTCCTGACAGAAAACGGAAATGTCCTTAGGGCTGTTTTTCAGTAGTTTTACGAAGCTGTTCTACCTCCTTATTGTACCATGGATACAATTACTTTAAGAATATTTAGATTAATAGATTGCCTCTAAATGAATTGCATAATCTACTAAAATTATCAATACACGCATAATTATTTTTTTTTTGCTTTATTTAGTTAAATACCCAAAAAAACGTTGTCAACTCTCACAGGGTGTCTCAAACATTGATATTTTTCTTTTCCATAGGGTGACTCAATATATCTATACATCCCTAAAAGTATGCTTTAAGTTTTTGTTTGTCTGCATATGTGCTATCTCTTCTCAGTGATTTCCCGTTTCTTAAACATTTAAAAGCGGCACCACGTTCAATTGGAAAACAAACGGAAAAGGAAAAATACGACAAGAAATATATTTTTTTTTGGGAAAATATATAAATAAAACTGTACGTTTACATTAGCTCCTGAATGTGTTTTATAATTAAAACAAGTAAAATCGAAGCAGTCGGTTTTGCCGATAGATTTATACCCCCAGCCTTGAATTATGATTGTTCAAATGGTTGACCCTTTATGGCGAAGGTTCCGAAGCAGATGGCCAATATTGATCAATCCATTTTTGACCTAAGACTGATATTAATATTACAACGTGCCAGATTTGGACTATATCAACTACTTCCTATACTTTATGTGAGATATGTGCAAACTTTTGGAAAATGTGGAAATATGTGTGAGGTAACAGATTTAGAGGACTTCATCTAATATAGAACAAAAATTATGGTATGTACAAAATTTAAAGGAAATCGAACATTTATATCCAATTTTATGCGAAATCATAAATTTCAGATTTCTGGTTGAGACAAATAGGAAGTTGTAAAAAATCGCCGACTTGTTTCGCAAGTTTTGGCAAGTTATGGGTGAGGTACCAGAAGGGTTTGGGAGATATATATTATTATCTTCAAAACAGACCTTTTTTTGATAAAATTATGCTAAATCAGAAATTCTACCTTTTTATACCCTCCACCTTGGAAAGGTATAATAGGTATATTAGCTTTGTCATTTCGTTTGTAACATCCCTAAATATTCATCGTAGACCCCATGAATTATATATATTCATAATCAGCATAAAATTCTAAGTCGATTTAACGATGTCTGTCAGTCCGTCTATCTCTCTGTCTGTCTGTTGAAATCACGATACAGCCCACATTATTTGACGTAGAGCGTCAAAATTTAGCAGAACTATTTGTATTTTGTCTAGGAAGGTTGATGTTGAAAATGTGATGTATCGGTCCACGTTTTGGTATAATCCCCACCTCCCGATATTCGGTATTTTGATGATTTTTGCCACATTTTTCACGGATTTGTCTAAAATTGGTATTTGTTGGTCATAATGGGTTCCAGCTCCGGCAGCGAAACATTGTATGTATTGGTCCACGTTTTGGTATAGGCCCCATTTTTTCACGGATTTTTCAAAAAAATGGTATTTGTGGGTCATAATGGGTCCTAATATTTCCTTCACCCTAAGGTGGTGTTTTTTACTTGTTTTGTATTCATTTCTTTTTTGTGTTTAAGTTTTTATACGCTTTGTTTCTTTCAATGGCGGACAAATGGCTTTGTTTGGACAAAACAGCAGATTTCACAAATTTCTTCCAAATCAAAATTAAAGTACCTTATGCCATGTTTATGTTACAACTTTTCGTAGGGTTAACGTACTTTAAGAGGATTTATTTGAAGTATAAGTTATGGTTATGAAAATTTTAAGCCAAATCCAGTGGGGTTAATCCATTTTAATGTAAACGTATTGTAGCTCTCTCAGAAAGAAATTGTGGGACAATTTCTGCAGGAAAACAAACCAGACAGACCTATTTATTTGAAAAAACAGATTCTTCGTTTGAATTTTCCATTGGAAAACAATAACACACATTTTAAATCTTTTTTTTTATTATTTTTAATTATATTTTTATTTCCTTATTTACTTTTTGTTTGTATACATTTAAAGTACATAAATTTCATTTCATTTTGTAAAAATATCTAAAATATATTTTTTTCATTGTTTTTTTTTAAATTTTATTTAATTATTGTTATAATTATTTAGCTTAAAATGATTTTAAATTCTATATCTCATTGTATTTTTGTTAATATGATGTGTGTGTGTTTTGTGTCCTTTTGTTGTTGTCTAAGTTATTGTTTGATTTGTTGCAGTGGGTGTATATTGTTGATTGTTGTTTCTTCTCTTATTGATTATTGTTCATCAGTTGTACAAAAAAATATGTATATAAATGTCCACCTTCTTAAGTTCGTTTTATAAAAAAAAAACACAGTTATTGTATTAAAAATTAAAAAAAAAACAATTTCAAAAAAATACAGTGTTAACAGAAATGCATAGAGTTTCACATTTTGTTGTTATAATAATACATGTATACATACATGTTTTGTATACATACATAAATATATATATATATATATGTATATGTAGCAGATGCGGCAAGTATGTACATATGTATATGATACATAATTTATATAACAAGAAATTGGGGTTACATAGTTTTTGTTTTTTTTTTTTTGTTTAATCGAGAATTAGGGGTCATGAATGAATGCAGGACAACGTAGACATTTACTTTGACGGGACCATGACACTAGGACAGGGTTAAGTAACATTAACATACAATTCTTCTTCGTATTTCGAATTAAAAAAATCCTAATTTTTTAAAATTAAATCATGGCCGAATCTCCTTAACTACATACATGGAAAAACGCACACATTTTCTCACTTACAAAACTTATAGGCTACCAAAAACATACAAGAGTCTAGGTGGGGAAGATGAACCATAGATTTGAAGGATATTGTTTTTCTTTTCATTGAGTTGAAGAGGAGGAAAGGTGGATGGGTGGTTGGTTGGTTGGTTTTTCTATGACTGGTGAAGAAGTAGAAGAAGTTGGGAATCGAGCGTAAAGAAGGGAAATTTGACAGATTTACTACTACTATTACAATTAGTGTTTTGCAAAAGATACAAGTCTCTTAAATATAACTTAAGATGTGGCATTGACGGCCATTTCACGTGCCCAGTCGGGGAAGGTGGTCAACGAGGGATAGACCACAGCGCCCCATGTTTGACAGAAAACGAATAGGACAACAATACTAATAATGGTGGGTCCAACACCAGCAATGGCCTGTAAGAAAAAAAAAATGGGGAAAATGGCGGGTTAATTTATTGAACAAAAAAAAATTAATAAATAAAAAGAATTGGGCATTTGTTCTAGTCTTTCAAATATACAGGGTGCGATAAAAAAAAAACTGCAACAAAGTCTAACGCCATAATTTTTAATATTTTTTTTAAATTCTATTAATTGACAGCAAAAAATGTCGGAAATAGTATCAAATTTTAGAATAAGTTTGTCGCATTTGTCACGAATTATGGCCTTCAAACGGCCAATGAAACCGTCACACGCTGCCAGAATGTTGCTCTGCGGTATTTTGGCCATTCCCGGCGAAGTGCTTGCTTGAGGTGATCGACACTTTGGTATTTTTTTAGTGCCAACCTTGCTTTCCGAAATTCTCCAGACACAATAGTCCAACGGATTGGTATCTGGAGATTTTGGTGGCCATTGTGTGGTAAAAATGAAGCGAGGAACCTCATTTTTCGATGGTGCTGAGTCCTGTTGGAATGTCCAAGTTCTGCGGCCAAAATGTTTGCGTCCTTCCAAGGCTTTAATACACCCTCCAGAATATTTTCGCGATAATATTCGGCATTTATTCTGATGCCACGGTCGATTAATATGAGCGGAGTGCGACCATCGGCTGTTATGGCGGCCCATAACATCACCATGGCCGGCGCTTGAGTTCTGGTGGTCAATTGAAGGTGCAAATTTTCAGCTGACCTCTTTGGCAAGTTAATACGAATAACTTTTTTTCTGGAAATTCGTGCCAAAGGTGACCAATTCGAACAAATCTAAACTTATTCTAAAATTTGATGCTATTTCCGACATTTTTTGCTTTCATTCAATAAAATAAAAGAAAAAAATCAAAAATTATGGCCTTTGACTTTGTTGCAGTTTTTTTATCTCACCCTGTATATTTTTTTAATGTTTTCCTATTCTAAATCAACCTACCATATCCTTTGTGCGTATATTTGCATAACCCGCCACCAGGGCATTCGGCGGCGTACTAACAGGTAAATGGAAAGCCATACTGCATGCCAAACCGGCGGGCAAAATTAAGTACAAAGGATGGATTTCAATGGCAAGGGCCTGGAAAAAAAGAAGAAAACACACATCATTAATCAACCCCCCCTCTCAGGGCAAAATCCACTTCCAAACCTACCATTTCAGCCAATACAGGTACCATAATATTGGCAATGGCCACATTTGAACTGAATGCCGTCAAGAAGACAGCAACCAAAATGATGACCAACAAGAGGACAGCATGGGGCAGGGATTTCAAACCAACCAAAGCTTGACCAATCAGTTTTGCCATATCCGAACGTTTGCTACCCTCAGCCAAAGCGAAACCACCACCCAACAAGAAAATCAAACCCCATGGCACACGCGACTGAATGAATTTCCAGGTAATCAACGAGGGAGTGGTAGCTGTGGGCAATGGTTGATTCTTGCGATTGCAGCAGTAACGCATAAAGGCATAATTGGCGGGCAGAATGAAACACATGACCACAACAAAGATGGTGGGCATAGAATTCTTAATGGGCACCGTATCCAACCAATCAGCCCAGCCGGGGAAAATACCAGGTTTCCTTGTGAAATACATAATGACCATGATGATGAAGAGAATCATAACTTGAATTTCATGTATGGACATGGGTCCCAATTCCTTGTAACGTTGATCGATAATTTTCTTGGCCACGCCGGCGCCTTGTTGGCCCAATTTCACTTCCTCAGCCTCTTTGCTCTTGGGACGGAACAGACCCATAAAGTGATATTGCAACCAGACAAACATCAGACCGGTATAGACCAACATCGATGGCACGGAATAGAACATGAAGGTGGGGAAATCCAGAGTTTCTTTCGAATTTGGGAAACGAGTTTCGTAGAGACCCTTGAAGGTCAAGTTGGTGGCAGTACCAATGACTGTGCCGCAACCACCCATGGATGAGGCATAGGCAATGCCCAAGTAGTAACACAATGTGACCTTGGAGGGGTATGGGGGTCTGCAAGGGAAGAAAAGAGAATAATTAATGTAAACATTTGAGAGATTTGTGTTACTACGGCTTACTCTTCTTCATTGGCCTTTTTGTTGTTGGCACCCACAATCTTGTACTCGGGTTCGGTGGTCATTTTGCATAAGCCTTGGGCTTGCAACTCCTCCAAAACGGCCTGAATAATGGGACACATCATGGCTGTACAAGCGGCATTGGAGATCCACATGGACAAGAACATGGTAACGAAAATCAAACCGAAATGTAATCTGAAATATGGAAGAGGGAAACAAGTTAATTGAAGTGTAACGATTAAAAAAATTAAAATTTAAAAAAATAATTTTGGTATCTTTAAAAAAAAAAACATTCAAAATAATAATGAAAAGTTTTTAAAATTAAATATTCGAAATAAATAAAAACACGAGTATGAAAACTTTTGAAATAATTTAAGACTCATTGACAGAAAATATTTTCAATATTTAAAAAAAGGAATTTTCGTGGAATATATTAAAAAAAATAATATATTTCAATCCAAAATTATAAAAACCATTAAAAAAATAAAAAAAAATAGAATCTTTTGAAAAAATATTAAAAAATATATATTATTTTAAATTCACAATAAAAGAAACCCTTAAAGGAATTAAAAAAAAATCTAAATTAGAGCATCCATTTAAAAAATTGAGACGAGAAAAAAGTAATATTTATAAAATATCCACGGTTTTAAAATACATTTCCAAAAAATTATTTAAAACCCCCAAATTTTAGTAGTTCTGGGTGGGATTCTTGTTTTATGAAATAATAAAATCAAAAATTTTATTTAAAATAATAATATACTTTAATGCAAGATTATTAAACCATTAAAAATAAATAAAAAATATAGACTCTTTTGAAAAAATATAAAAAAAATATTATTTTAAATCCATAATAATAGAAAACCTTAAAGAAAATTTAAATTTAGACGAGAAAAAAAGTAATATTTATAAAATATCCCCGGTTTTAATAACTAGTTCCCAAAAATTATTTAAAAACACCATATTTTAGTAGTTCCGGGGGTGGGATTCTTGTTCTATGAAATTATGAAATGAAAAGTTTTTCATTTGACATTTCTTTTCTTTATAAAAGCTTTCATTTCACATTTTCATGGAATAAGAATTGAGGTTCTGGTCGTCATGTTACAAATAATTTAAAAACTTGATCTGTAATACAAAAAATTATAAAATTCTTATATCCGATCTGTTGCTTTAATAAAGATGATACCCCCAAAACTCTACACAGTATGAATATTCTTTTGTTTAAACCCATATACATAAATTACATTAACTATTTGCCATAAGTTTATAAATATTTATTGTCTACTCATTGCAACGCGGTCATTGTTCATTGTCCCGTTCAACAACACTTTCGTATTATACCAGCGCCAATGAATATGCAAAATTGTGTACTTAATTAAAGTCTGTTGCTACAAAGATAGACAGATATATAGCAACAATAAAAAAACTCATCCATAAGAGGGGGTTTGATGACTGATACTGATATTACATACCTTCTGGGACTGCAGCCCACAATTTGGATTACTCGCAATGCCAAGCGTTTGTGCAAATTACAATATTCAATAACCAAAGCGACCATAATACCGCCCATAAACATGACCAGTGTATCTTTGAAATATAATTTACACGTTTCATCTGAGCTCTGTAATTAAAAAGAAAAGAATTTTTTTTGTAAATTAATTTTAATTGGAATAATACTAGACCTATTAACCTGTGGGGAGATGTTAACAATGTTTTTATTTGATGCCAATTGTCGTACGACACGTGCCCAATTTATAAAACGTAATTTGAATTGGGAAATGTAAAATGTTTTAATAATTTATCAATAATTTCCTCGTCTAAGGTTTGGCAACACTTTCTTGTGACTGTTAGAAATGAACAGCGCTAAAGCACAACGATGGCCTACGGCGTTTGTCTTAACGTTTTAGCGCGTGGGAAATGTAAACAATGTTTTTACTTGAAGCCAATTGTCATTCGACACGTGCCCAATTTATAAAATGTAATTTTAATTGGGAAACTTTCAACGTTGTAATAATTTATCAATAATTTCCCAGTCTAAGATTTGGCAACACTTTTTTTGACTGTTAGAAATGGGCAGCGCTAAAGCACAACGATGACCTATGGCGTTTGTCGAAATTGTATATGTGAGAGGTAACAACAAGTTAAGAGTTGCCAACTTTTTAAAGGGATATAACGGCGCGTTTATACTATTAAAGATTAACATGGTAAATTTGATAAAGCAATTTATCCTGGCAATATGGGTAATCTGGATAAAATTTGGTATCCAAACGCGCTATAAATGTGTACACATAATAGTATTGGTTAATGATATATAAAACTAACGCAATGTTTACATTTAAGCTCTTTATGGCGCTTAAGTGTTCTAACATCATAAATTTGACAGAAATTATATAAAAACATAGGGCAGATATGTCAAAATAAATATTTTTTCTGGGGTAGTGAGCACCATTGTAAACATTGTTAATTGCTTACATTCCCCCAAACTCTAAAAAGTCTTAGTAAAATATTGTTGTTTTAATACTTACCATAATACCCATAATCGGGAATGCAACAATAGGCAACATTGATGTAACATATAAAGGTAAAGCTTCTGTGACCCAAAAGATGGCCATAACAATTAAAAGGTACATGCAACGGTAGGGCTGAAAAAAAATTGAATAATTCGATTAATAAATTTTAAAAATAGTTTTCAAACTGCAAAGCATAGTTCGGATAATTATCTGTGGGCCACGCAATACAAGTTTAAGAAAATATATTTTAATTTGAAGTATAATTAATGGAATTGAGAGATGGAATCGTAACTTTAATCTCAAGTCTCAACTTGTGAAGATATTAACCTAAAGAAATTTTTCTATTGAAAAAGTGGTCTAAACATGCCAATAGGCAGAGGGATATATTAAAAGCTATGGAATTGGTAGGAGAATGAAAGAAATCTATGAATTTTACTATTTGGAGGGCATCTCTCAAAATATTAAAATACGTATTTAACCCGGATGGTCGAACTGCAGAATTTGTTAAATAAATATTGTGGCCTTTTTTATAAATTTCACTTTTTCATGTCGAAAATGTATTTATGAAATTAATGCATTTTTTTGACGCAATGATATGGAGTTTCACCTGATTTTTAAAAATTGGCGAAATGTTAAATTTTGTCTACTTTTTGTTTATGTTTCAACTTCTCCTCTAATCACAATAATAATTTTGGGAACTCATCTAGAAGATCAGCTGTTTTTGATATTATATTAAGTATCATGGTAGATGAATACGGGTAGTCGCATTGCCACAGTTGCTGGGACAATAAACTGTCAAACCAATTTCGGAATTGAAAGTTTTGAATAAAAAATTTCTCACATTTGGAAAAATTGTTGAAATATGCACATTATTATAACCTCCGATTGAGTCGTAAACATATAAAAATCTACGTATTTATGAAAAAAAAATTTTTCAACATTTTGACATTTCAGAGTTGACAAGCTTTGATATGTCAACAAATTTTAAATGTTTTTTTTTAATATAAGTAGATTTTTACATTTTTTCCTATACGACGTCATTCCGAGGTTATCATAACTCGCGTTTTCAACAATTTTTACAAATTTAAATAATTTTTCATTCAACATTTTCAATTTCAAAATTGGTTTGACAGTTTATTTTTCGTGCGTCCACCCATATTATTTTACCATGAGTAAGTATTAATTATGTCATGAGGTAAACATATCTTAGACAGCATGGCAGAAGAATACATGTAGATGCATCAACGCTTGGGAGGATTGTTATGTCAAAAAAATTTAAATGTTTTTTAGGTTATTATAATTCACATTTTTCAACAATTTTTGCAAATTAAAATTTTTTTATTCAACATTTTCAATTCTAAAATTGGTTTGACAGTTCATTGTCCCAGCAGCTGTGTCGATGCGTCTACCTATATTCTTCTACCATGTTAGACAGTTTATATAAGTGTTGCCAACTCTTTGGCATTTGTCAGGGCGATATGTCAATTTAATATTTAGTTAAATACACTAAACCCTGCCTTAACATTAAAAAAGAACTAATCTGAAATGATTTTTTATTTACTTACAGGAGTATTATTCAGAATCATCACAGGTAAACATAGCAAGGGTATTAAGAATACAACCAAACCCTTCCAATGATTGGCAATAAAACTTTTGCAACGGCTGCCGCCAGATGCGGGTTCTCTTTCACCCACCTCACTATAAACAAATAGAAAAAGAAATTAGTATAAACACTTTTATAAATCACAATTATAATTATTTATACTTACATTTCCATTTTGTATATATTTATATACTATATACTGAAAAGAGAATAAATGAAAAAATAATAATTAGTATAGGAAAAATATGTAGAACGTGTTTTAAGAATGACAATTCCAAACAAAAATAAATAAAAATTCTAAAACATTATATAAACTTTAGCCAAGAAATTTTTACCTTTCGGGCATAGATACACTATATAACTCAAAAAAATATATAAAAAATAGAAAAATAAAATATTTTGTCATAATATAATTAAATATGAAATATAATAAAAACACTTTTATGGCAAACTGTATGATATTTTGATTAAGTTGTCTAGCCATAATAATTGTGTTTATTTTGGCGTTTCAAAAAAACAAAAAAAAAAAAAAAAAATAGAAACGGAAACTGTAATTTAATAGCAGTTTAGACAACTTTAACTCTGAAACTAAACACGCACGCAATTGTTTAAAATTACGCTTTTTACGTCAATTAGTTAGCATGTCAATGTGCTTTTAACAATATATTTTAATATGTCACATGATGACAGTTTATATGTCAAACAATCTAGTTAATGTTTATTTATATTAAAACGGTAATATTACAATTGACTATTATTTAAAAAAAAACGTTATTGGGTTTTAAGTTTGATTGTGGTAGAATTAAAAAAGGTAATTTCATTTAAAATTCCAATTTCAAACATGTAAAATTCTGCATTTTCTGTAATTTACCTAGTGGACCAACATGCCTATTATGTAACTTTTTAATTTTAACAATTTTTCAATCGATAAAAGTCATAGAATATGCCTTTATACTGTTTCATTAAAGATGTCATACTTAAAGGCGACATTAGCGTTAATAGTGTTGCCAACTACCATAAAATCAATTTAATGTGTTCCTATAATTATTCTCCTACGTAAGCAATAATCGAAATGCTTTCATTTTGTCAGTTTACGTGATTGAACGTTTAAAATAAAATATATCATAATTATCAAGACTCATTATTAATTTTACATTTATTACACATGATATATTATCATGTTTACATACGGTTACATCAATGATATTGATGGGCACACGCAACATACGATTTAATTCAATTTTTATATTGTGTATTTTGTGTGTAGATCACTTTTAACAATAAATGTTATTATAGCATGAGAAAAAGCTTGTTAATTGAATTATTAAAAAATATAAATTATATTATATTATGGGAAACGATTATTTTGATGGCTGATATGGCAATTTGGCGTCTACTTAGACACAATAGAATGTAATATTGCAATGACAATATGCCGTAATTACGTTGTAAGCGACATCGACAATTGTCAACAATTAGTTGAGGTTAAAAGAGATCACCTAATAAAACTTATATCACTTTTACATTACTCACTTCCATTAGGATTAAGGGGTGCATTATTTTTATTTGTGACAAAATTGTGTTGAGCTTCTCTTGACTTTCGAATTAAATCCACATGTTTGTCATTGTGAATGGTATAAACATGGTAAAATTAAGAAGGTAAGTCATGCAATCATATGTTTTTTTTTCAATATGATTCATTTGACAACATCCCACTGTCAAAATTTATATTTATAAGCCCATTGAATGTTCACAAATCGAGATGGGAACCTGTTTGTTTAGCTCTGAAATTTAACCAGGTAAATTGCAGAAAATGCAGAGATGGGAATGCTTATTCGAAATGACTTTACCTTCTTAAATTTATCATGGGTTTAAAGATATTTATTTATATTTGCCATTGTGTTTTTTCCTTACTGGTTTAAAGGTGTTTAGTTAGCTTCAAGCACCATAATTAATGGAATTGCCAACCTAAATGACGTATTTTATTACCACATGCTTGATGTAGACATTGCCTCAAAAATTATTTATTAAAAATCACAAAAGCTATTTGTATTATATAATATAATACCTCTATTCGGAAAATTCCATAATCCCAAATAAATTTATAATTGTGATCAGATAATTATTGTCGAGAAAAATAAAAACACAATATTTTACACAAAAATAAATGTAAATCCTCTAAAATGATGAACGATAAGGTAATTTTTTTATAATAAATGTATCGTGGTTTTAAATATAATACATTTATTAGGGCTGTTCTAGTAGATTTGCTAATGGCAAAACTAAAATTTAAAATTGATTTCAAAAAAGAAGAATGAAAAGTCAAGACCAATGAAGGATCGACATTTGGTCATGGGTGTTACATATGTTTGATGTTGCCAAAAACAGCTACATGACCATACTTGTCTATTCTTGTCCATTTGTGATTTCACTGCAATAATAGCTTCGTTCCGTACTTTTATTGGTGATAAAAGTAGCAGTTCCCTTAAAATTGTCATGGTAGAAGAATATAGGTAGGCGCATCGACCCTGCTGCGGGGACAATGAACTGCCAAAACAATTTGGGAATTGAAAATGATAAATGAAAAATTATTTAATTTTGTAAAAATTGTTGAAAAAAGCTTATTAAAATATCCTTCAAATGACGTCGTATAAGAAACATATAAAAATCTATTTATTTTTGAAGAAACATTTAAAAATTGTTGACATATCAATGTTCCCAAGCGTTGATGCATCTACCTGTATTCTTCTACCATGCCAAAAGATATAGTTGAAAAAGTGGCAACATTGAACAAAAACGTCAAAATCCAAAAAAAGACGTTACCAAACAGCTGATGATAATAAAATAACAAAGCTGACAGATTTGTGTGTTTGAGGATAATTTGATGAATTTCAATGAAAAAAAATGCGGAATACTTAAAAAATATAACAAAATTGTATATTTGTTTTTTTAGAAACATCAGTTACCACTTGGGATTGATTTGAATGAAATGTAAGATTCACTGTTTGATAGATTTTTCTATTTTTACTTCCAAATTCGTGATGTACAAAGTTTCTGAGAACTGAACATTGAAAACTTTTTCGGGTACTCCGGAACGTTTTTCCGTTTTGTGGGCAAAATGTGCAAAAGTGTAAGGGTATCTACAATTAATGGTAGAATTAAGAAGTTAAAGTCATGTTATCTGTATATGTTACCATTTTTTTTAAATTATTTATTCGACAACATCCCATTGTCAAAATGTATATTTTTGGAAATCCACAGAAATCCCAGATGGGAACTTGCTGTTTATTCAGTGAAATTTGACGAGGAATCGACCCGATGACTTAAGTCAGCCAAAAAAGCGTTTTATGTATTCTCATCCTTTTTGTACCATGAGCATGATTAAAACTTCACCTTATGGTAGTTGGCCACACATTAAATTATGTGTAAGGAAATTAAGGTGGCAATACATAAGCAGCTTGGCTACGTTGCATTGCTTTTTAATGTCAAATTATAAGCAGCAAAAACGGCTAAATTCGAATTCGGCAATTTTTTATGATTTGAAAAAAAAATAGACGCATACAAAGCAACAATAACTCATTATGTTTCTCTTTTTAGGTTTCACAACTCTACAAAAACTAAATTTCTATTTGTTTTTTGTTTACAATTTATTGTTTGCTTTTCAGAATTCGACGATTACTTTATTCATTTTCAATGGAATTCCAAATGATTTGCCACAAAATCTTCTCATACCTTCACAGTTCACAAATGCACAATAAATCATAATAGAAAAAAATACGCTGTTAAGCACGAAATGCAACCAAAATATTCATGATCGTCTTACAGCAAAAAAAAAAAAAAAAAAAAAAAAAAAGCCAGGGTGCAAAACCGCTAAATTGTAAATGTCTCATTGTGGTTGCTGCTATTCATTTAATTTCCATGTGTATTTAAAGCAGTGTCACGCGCCTTTCATTACGTCACATATACAATAATATATCCATATGTAGACAATATAAATATGTGTGTGTCAGTAGTATTGACCCCCTTTTTATTTCTAACACTTCTCTCTATTTTGTTGTTGTCATTGATTGTTATAGAGCGCGCCACCGTTCATAACGGTCACTGACAATAACAACAAAACAGTAGTAGTAAGTGTAGGCATCAAGACTAGCACTTAGGTAGCTCATACCCCAGCCGGTTAAAAAAAAAAAAAAAAAAAAAAAAACACGGTGATGACGTGCCCCCTCGTCAGAATGTTTTTTTTTATTTATTTTCTAAAATAACCTCCAACATGTTTTTTTGGTTTTATTTTGCCACTTAATTTATTTCCTATTGTCCATGTTGTTATGTACAAATTTCCATTGATTTGTTATGCCCGATATGGGGCTTTCTAATTGAAATCATAAGAAAAGAAATCAAACGATCTGTAAATTGATGTCATTTAAAACAAAACAACAATTGTGTGCAAAAAATGTCGCCTCTAGACGTTGTCTTTCCAAAATCGAGGTGATGCTTGAATTGCGTAGTGTGTCAGCAGACTGGAGAAATTGTTTTGTTATTGATATTTCATTGACGTTTTCTTTGTAAGATTTTTTTTTCTAAATTAATATGACAATAATTGAAAAGTATCATTGTTGAGGGACATTTTAATAAAAGGTTTTTCGTAAACAAATGCAATTTAGAAAAGAGATCTTGAAAATGTTGAAAGCTCTTCCTGTATATTTTGATTACCAATTTTGAACACAAAATAATTATTGACACAATTCCACTCGTGATCATTTTTGCCACGCTCTTGACTTAAGCCAGACAGAGAAGCGTTGAATGTATTTTTATGTAGGCTATCTTCCCAAAAGACAGAATTTTCTCATAAAGAGTTCGAATAAGCAGTTTATATGAAATTTGTACAAATACGCTTGGGAATATGTTATGTCAAAAATTTTTAAATATATATATAAGTAGATTTTTATATGTTTTCTTATACGACGTCATTCGGAGGTTATTATAATTCACATTTTCAACAATTTTTGCAAATTTCAATAAATTTCCATTCAACATTTTCAATTCAAAAATTGGTTTGACAGTTCATTGTCCCAGCAGCTGTGTCGATGCGTCTACCTATATTCTTCTACCATGAAAAATACGTTTAGAAGGTTGGCTAATATGATTTGATGTGTGACCAGATAGTTTTATGAAGTTCATATAATGCGTATTACCCCTCTA